TCCTATTCCTATTCCTATTCCTATTCCTATTCCTATTCCTATTCCTATTCTATTCCTATTCCTATTCTAATCTATTCTATAGATTAGAATGCTGGCTGGGGAATTCTGGGAGTTGAAGTCCGGACATCTTCAAGTTGCCAAGGTTGGGAAACACTGCTCTACTGCTCTACTCTACTCTACTCTGCTCTACTCTACTCCACTCCACTCCACTCTATTCCTATGACTATCACTGAGTGTTGTATCTTATGATTCTTGATGAATGTATTTCTTTTCTTTTTATGTACACTGAGATCTTCTGCACCAAAGACAAATTCCTTGTGCGTCCAATCACATTTGGCCAATAAAGAATTCTATTCTATTCCTATTCCTATTCCATTCCATTGTATTCTATTCTGCTTTCTACTCTACTCTACTTCACTCCACTCTATTCCTATGACTATCACCAAGTGTTGTATCTTATGATTCTTGATGAATGCATTCTATTTCATTTTTCTTTATGTACACTGAAAGCATATGCACCAAAGACAAATTCCTTGGGTGTCCATTCACACTTGGCCAACAAATAATTCTATTCTATTCTATTATTTGGAGCCTTGCTGGAAAGTAATTATTATTGCTCTGATCCCCCTTTCCTGCTCATGCCCGAGCTTCAACCTTCAGATGCCACAACTGGATCTCTTTTTAACATGTACGTTTTAAGTTTCCTTAAAAAACAAACGAACGTTAGATTTCTAAGATCCTCTTTTAGACTTCTAAGAGCCTCTGAGGAGCGCTCTCATTTGATGGAAGCCTCAGCTGCAATTCAGAGGTTCTGGCCTTCCACCCCAACCCTGGTCATTTGGCACCTTAAGATGTCATTGTAACATTAACCATACACCCCGTACCTGTTTCCTTAATCCCTTTAGACAGCCTGCAGATAAGCTGTCCTCCTATCTGCTGCACTTAAAATTCCACGGGGGGGAATTTCCAAGCACAGGGGTTATCACCCCTCTTCCTATTTTTGCATCTTCCCTTCAAGTTGGAGCTAAATACAGAAAACTGGCCCTTCTGAAGATCAGAGAAAGGATTGGAGACCAACAGAAGAAGGTCCATCCCTTCTGGTTTTGGAGGTCCCATTCTTGAGCGCTCGGGGTTTAATTCTCCATAACCGATGTTGACTTCTCTTTTTTTAATTCTTTTATTGAATAAATGTTAAAAACATTGCACATAGAGTGACCATTCTGGCTTTGTTTTTCTTTTTTTTCTTTTCTTCATTCGTTGTGTCCCATTTTTTTTNGGTTTGTCAGCCGCCCTGAGTCCCTTTGGGAATAGGGTGGCATACAAGTCGAATAAACCACTAAACCACAAACCACCTATACTGTACCTGTGCATTTTGTTTTTCTTGCCTAAATGATGACGATGATGATGATATGCCATCAAGGTGTCCCGAGAAGCAACTGAATTTATTTTTCCTTGAAGACATTTTGCTTCTTATCCAAGAAGCTTCTTCAGTTCCAACTCAGTCTACAGAAGTGGAAGCTTCTTGGATGAGAAGCGAGACCTCTTCAAAAAAAAACAAGAAAGTCCTGTTGCCTCTCGAAAAAGCATCTTTTGGGACAACCATGACCTGGAGGACTGAGAGTTACCACAGACATGCCTTCAAGTTGTTGCTGACTCTTAGTATCTTAATGTCCTCCAGAACAATTTGTCCCTAACCTAGTGACTTCATGAGAACCTCTGTAACATTCCACCAACATCTTCTCGGCCAAAAAATGAGTTTCAGAAGTTCTCATCACTTTTCTTGATTCTCCCACTTCTGCACTATTTCTTTCAAGAGTAACCTTATGATTGGACCATCCACCTGAAGATATTTTCTCCACCATCATTATCATCACCTTCCTTTCTGTTATCCTTGGCTTCTCCCTGAATTCTACCCGTTGTTGTTTCATCCTCCTTTTTTTTTCATAATTTGCCTTTCTTAGCTGGGGAAATTTTCCAGGATACTTTGCAAATTTCTGCTGTTTGTCCCTTCCCTTCCCTCCCCCTTTCCTGGGACCATTGGGGGAGGGGGAGAGGCACTGGCTTTGCGTTCGCAACACTCCCCTTTGTCCTGCCCTCACTGCTTTTATTCTCCAATCTCCACTCAAGCGGAGAACAGGGATGACCGAACGGGCCTGGTATGCGAGGAGCAATTAGAGTTTGCAACCCAAGAGGCTGTTTTCCAGCAGGGCAGCCTCTCTGTTCCACTCCAGCAGGCTCCTTTCTCTCTGCAAATACTCCATCAGGCTGGGGCATAAGGTCCTCCCTCTTCCTTGTAGATGCAGCTTGTGATGCTGGCACGAAAAGCTGCCTGCAGTAGTTATGACTCTCTTGGAAATCAACATCTGGAACAGCCAGGAAGGTACAGCTGGCACAGCAAGGCTGCTGGCTCTTACTGTTGACCATCTGAGGAAAGAGATGGACCTCCCTGAATGTTCTAGATAGGAGATGGCTGGAGCAAAGGTCCACCCATCTTCTTTCCATCCCTTCATCCATCCGTCCATCCATCCATCTAGCTGTCTCTTACTGTTGACCATCTGAGGAAAGAGATGGACCTCCTTGGATGTTCTAGATAGAGATGGCTGGAGCAAAGGTCCACCCATCTTCTTTCCATCCCTTCATCCATCCGTCCATCCATCCATCTAGCTGTCTCTTACTGTTGACCATCTGAGGAAAGAGATGGACCTCCTTGGATGTTCTAGATAGAGATGGCTGGAGCAAAGGTCCACCCATCTTATTTCCATCCATCCATCTGTCCATCCACCCATCTAGCTGTCTCTTACTGTTGACCATCAGATGAAAGAGATGGAGCTGCTTGGATGTTCTAGATAGGAGATGGCTGGAACAAAGATCCACCCATCTTCTTTCCATCCATCTGTCCATCCATCCATCTAGTTGTCTCTTACTGTTGACCATTGAATGAAAGAGATGGACCTCCTTGGATGTTCTACAAAGGGGATGGCTGGAGGAAAAGTCCACCCATCTTCTTTTCATCCATCCATCCATCCATGGATGGATGGATAGATAGATAGACAGACAGACAGAGACAGGCAGGCAGAGACGGATAGATTGATACACGGACACAGTCATACA